AGCAGAAAAAAATAGACAATTACGTTTCTATGATCTATGAGCGAGGTGATGTTCAATAAAAACGTGAATTCTCCTGTTCCGTAAAAATTACCCATTAGTCTGATGACTCACCCCTGTATTGACAACAAGTCGTTCCGTCATTTTTCCTCGACGATTGAGTAATTTTAAGAAACAGAACGTACAAACAACACACCCACCTCATAAAAATTGTTGAACATTCATGAATTTTTCATTTTTCATGCATAATAAATAGATAATTGTCTGAGATTTCACTTATTCCGGTAAGATTACGTGAAAATTTAATCCATTTTTCATATTTCATATAAATTTTCTTCAATCGCTAAAAAAAAAGAACCGAAAGACGATTTGGGGTTTAAAATTCACGTGAGTTGTTCCGTAATTTTGACTGAATATTTCTCTCCATGTGCGATTGGTAAACTACGAAAATTCGAAATGACGTAAAATCAAAGGGATTTATTTTATTCGATTTGGGTCTAGCCGGAATAGCCACTTATGCAAATGATTCCCCAGAAAGGGACCAGCTTAATGATTCCAGTGACAGAGATGTCGAAACATGTTGAGAATCAATCGATTCCAAGAAAAAAGTGAGAATATACCGAAGTCCGCAAATTAACGATCAAAGTGGACACCTTTTGTGGCACTGCGAACAAAATAACCATCAAGTGTACATTGTATTTTTCCTTTCCCTTTTTTCTATAGTATTCACCGGGACTGGCGTCCTCTTGGGCATATCCCCCAGTTTAGGTCGTAATTCATTTTTTACGAGAGCACCAGTATCGTGCGAGAGAAACCCAAAAGAGGTTTCACCCACTTCTGATTTACGGTGTAACGATTAAATGCAGCTAAATTGTTGAGGCCTAGGATATAGTCCATTTCAACAATGTTGAAAAATAATGTTACGTCCTTCGAGGACACGTGGCATGCCTTTCGAATTCCCACACAACAATTCATTTGTATTCTCAGAGTTATAAGAAAACAAATTTACATTTTACCAAGGCAATTCGATAAACTCGTGAAAAACATTGAAACATAAAAATTGGTAATTACCACCCCACGAACGGATTTTCCGAAATGATAAAATTCACAAATTGTAAAATAGTAATAAATCAAAGTTCTTTTTTTGGATTTTGAATTGTGCAACACAAGATTCTTTCATTGAGAGTTTTTCCATTCTTTTTTCTTGTACAATCTTTTCTCGTTTTTGCCCAACCACTTTTAAAATGTAACATAGATTAATTTAAAAAATTATTATTTAGAGAATTACAAGAGTATCTTCTGAGGATTATCTCCAATTTTATTCTACCGATTCAGAAAAATTACTGGTTAATAACGGTATTTTTGCTAATCCTTTCATTCCCGAGATAATCTCATATTCAATAAAAACTTCAATCCTCCGTTTACTCAACTGGTTTTTAAACAAGTTTGTCAATTGCATTTTTCTTGGGAAAAATCGAGTTTGATAGGTGAAGGTTTAACAAATAATATTCGCACCTGAATTTACCTCATTTAGTCAGTAATGAAGTGCTAAAAAGAGTACTTTCCACAGAGAATTAAATGATAAAATTAATTTGTGGACCTTCCTTGTACATTCAATTTTTAACAATACGATTTTTCGTTAACTAATCGCGCAATCATTGAAAGTCGCAATTAGTGACTTTTAATAATTATTTTTTGAGTTATTATAAAAAAACTACAGGGCATGACCGTTAGCTGACCGATTTGACCCCTTCAGGTAATAAATACTTATTTTGACAGAAAAAAAAAATTGAATTATTGATGCGAGGACAGCAATTGTCATTAATGATTAAATTTTAAAGGAAAATCTTGAAAAACTCTTGCGATGGGTTAAATTCTTCGTAAAACGATTTTCAATGATTGAATGACTCATCGCCAGTCCCCCAAATACTTTCTCAATAAAGAAACAGTGAAACAGGGGATTTCGGTCCATCCCAATTTATAACTGTCACCTCGTCTCGGTGAGCTGGATGTCTGGTTCTAAAATAAAGTCGAGATTGCCGAGAAATCGGGTGAGGAACACTTGACGGATACATGACGTGGTCATCGTATTCATGTCCATCCGGGGGTACGTAAACGTCAGGTCGTCTTTTTGAGAGGTTACCGCCCCGAAAACTCCATAGTAAAACATTCACGGTTAAATAACAGAAAAAAAAAAAGTGACGGCTATTGCATGACTGTTGCAACCACCTGAATTCTCAATTTACAACCGAGCATTCACATCTCACTCCTGCGGTTTGAAAATTTTATTATTTCCATTCTCATCCCGGAATTACCATTCCAATGTAATCATCTATTCTTAATTACGGCCCGCCATTCGCTGGTTGCTTTGTTTTTTTTTTTCGGTTTTTTTGGTGCTCGAGGAAGTGAACCGCAGGAATGTGGAGAATGTCAAAATGACTTTGTTAAATTCCCACGGTAAATCAGTTTCACGGGGTTGACGGGATGATGCTTATGATTACACCCTGTCGCTTAACGGCTATAAATCTTTTGATCCGTCTCGGGTTTTTTTGGGTTACAGGTAAATGGTGGTCGCTGTGACCCGCAGGTCGATATTACGGCATCTGGAAGACTCAGGATGAATCATTGAATAAAAATAGGAAATGGTGACGAAATCCCTGAAATCTTACTCCAAAATCCCCAGGGTAACATCCCTATAGGATTAAAATTTCTCCTCAGGATTAAATTTGGATTAAATTTCTCAAATAATAAATAAATCGGTAATAAAGAATAAGGGCACATTTCCACACGGTGAGTCTTTCCAAAATATCTCTGAATTGAAGGAAAATATTGATATTTTTCTCAATACCTTTTTTGTTACGAACACCTTTCTCTAAAAAAAATGT